CGGGGGCGCCGGTGCCGGCGACGCCGTCGATGGCGCAGGGGCCCGACGCGGCGGCCTCGGCGCCGGCCGGGCCGTCGGGCGACGAGGCGAGCGGGAAGGTGGCGGCCATGATCTTGCCCGTGTTGGTGTTGTGGATGCGCACCGTGAAGGTGACGTCGTCGGGCGCGGTGCCGGCGACGGCGGCGGTCCCTCCCTCCCCCTCCTCGCCTCCCGGATCGCCATGTGCGAAGCCGGCGTCGCGCAGCGCGAGGCGGAGCACCGTCCGCGGCGGCACGGACACTATGCCCGAGTCGACGGCGAAGGGGCCGACGGCGGCCGACATGTTGCCGCAGTTGCTCGAGTAGTCGACCAGGTCGTCGCGCACGCCCAGGGCGGCAAAGGTGAAGTCGACGTCGGCGCCCTCGACCGTGGCGGGGCCGACGACGCAGGCCTTGGACAGGCTCGAGATGCCGCCGCCCATGCCGTCCAGCTGCCTGCCGTGCTCCGGGTCCGGGCTGCCGATGCAGGCGCGGAAGATGGGCGCCCAGGCGGCCCGGTCCGGTGGGAGGTCGGCCTGGCTGAACATGACGGCCCGCGACGTGCCGCCCCGGTAGTAGGATGCCTTGGTGCTTCTTTGGGGGCCGCGGGCGGCTGTGTTGGTGCTGCTGCTGCTGCCGGCGCGGCGGCTCCCCGTCGTTGCCATGGAGGGCGATATCAGCGATCTATGGAGCGCTGTCGACGCTCTCTGTGCTAGGCCTGCTGCTCGACCCAAGTAAGGCCTCCGCCACGTCATCTCGACTGCCCGAGTTAATGTTTCAGTTGTTCATCTTAGTCGGGATTGGCCTAGCTCGAGATCCCATATGGGGTGGATCAGCATAGGGTAAGGAGACGGCAAGAGGAGGGTGTTGTCCGACCTCTTATAAAATCAGGTGCCGCTACGCTAATTTGACGCCTGCACGGCCCTCCGGGGGCAACCGTCAAATTGCCCTAATTTTAATTTTAGATGTTTAAGGCAAAAGAATAGAGTAACAGTGCTTTTTTGGTGTTTTAACTCGTTCTTCGGACAATACAAAAAAGCACTGAAGGCGTTAGCGAAGCTTTAGGGCGTAGCTATTCTTTTTATTGTTTTAACCCCACCTATTGCACAAGCCAAATAACGCATACAACGGTAAGGCCGTGCTTAATTTAATGCCCCGGGCTAATAACGTAGGCTTAAAAAACTCGTAATGCCTTTACTTTTTACCGTTAAATAGGCCAACTTTGCCGGAAACCCACCCATAAAAAATTAAGGGCGCACTTTACTATATAAAACCGCGGCATTTAATAAATATTAATAAATTACTTTCGTGGTTTAACGGAAGGGCGTGCGGGGCGGCACAATTGGCGGGTTATGGGTATAAGGACCGGAATGCCGTAGTCGCAAATGCGCGGGTTCGAACCCCGCCTTTTTTAAA